CTATCTTCCCATAAAAATCCTTCTTCCACTGAAGTTCATGCCATACTTCTATACATCCATCACACATCCATGTATCACTTCATCCATGTACTACAATAGCTGGCAAATAGCAAGAACTAAATAAGTACTGGTTAAACTGTTGGTTCTTCGAATAAATGACTGAATAAGAGTTGTTTTCTTGGTCATGCTTTCAGCATTTGTTTGAGGTTTTGGTATCTGATTCTTTAAAAATTTTTTCTGTATCTTCTTTTCAAATCTTGATTCTTGATGAAGTGTTCACGGAGAACCACAGTTTCAGAAATAGACCAGTTTATATGTAGCACAAAAATTTTACCTTCCTCCAAATTCCTTGATCTTGAGTGACTTACTTCACCCTTCACTAACTTCAACCATATTGACCACATCTAGAACCATTCCCTGTCCTTTTGTGTGACCACAATATTTATGCTTTCACGTCTCTTCTACCCTGTTTCCAACTCCTTGACACTTTCATTTCTTCCCAGTGGTCTCCTGACTGTGCTTCCCTTCTTATACATCCTAAAGTACTGTCTTAAAATGTACTCAACACCCTCTATCCTTCTTTTCCTCAGTTCTGCCTAATTCATTTGAAAGTAAACCCAACTTGAAACCTACATTACAATTTATTTTTTTTTACCTCACTCCAACTCCTCAGCACAGCTGGAAAAACTACAACCTTGAGGTCTAGTGCCACTGCCCTTTGCTCATCACTGAAGGATCTTCACCAGCTACTTGTCAGCCATATTTACCATGCCTTCTAATCAGTCCCCTCAAAGCCCTAGCCCTACTCTACCTCATTCCCAGCAGATGGCATGGGATTCCCCCATTTTTGGTCTTCTCCACATATAAACTGGTCTGTTTCTGAATCCAGCCTAGTACTTCCTTCATGTATCTGCACCAGTTTTTCATTCCTGTTCTATAGTCAGTCTTCCAATTCTCTTTTATTGCCTGTGGGCCCTTGTTTCAATTATTTTATTTAAAAAAAATTTGTCTGAAGGTTAACTATGTACTGGGCTCTGTTATAGATGTTAGTGCACAGTAGGAAAACCAAAATGGACAAAATCCTGTCTCTCACTGGGGAATAGAGGAGGGTGGGGCAGGTGTGAAGAAGAAAAAATAAACAAATAGAAAGTTAAAAACAAAAGAGGTAATTTCTGTTTTCATAGATCTCATCCATGCCACAGGAGAGGAAAACCAGGTGTGGTGGTCCCACCTACTGAGGATGAGGAGGATGATAAATTAGAGGCCAATCTGGGCAATATAGCCAGATCCTGTCTCAAAATACAAAGGGATGGGGATGTAGCTCAGTGGTAGAGCACTTGTCTAGCATGTACCAGGACCTGGGTTTGATCCACAGTATCACAAAAAATTTTCAAATAAAACATTTTTTTTTTTTTTAAAAAAGAGGGAAACACTGACTCTTGAAGGAGACACTCTATGTTGAGAAGTCAACCTCTCCACCAGCACCCCCAACTCTAGTGCACTCTTTCAGTCCAAGGACAACTTCCTTGGCTCCTGAATTGCCTTCTTACTGCATCTTTGATGTCTAATTCTTCTCTTCTTTAAAGATCACCCTGTATAAACCATCTCTAAATTCTTACTTTCTTGGTCATCATTTTAGATGAACTCTAGATAGGGAAGAGGGTTGGGAGGGAAAGGGAGGGGGCAGGGGCTTACCAAGGATGGTGGAATGTGATGGACATCATTATCCAAAGTAGATGTATGAAGACACGAATTGGTGTCAACATACTTTATAGACAACCATAGATATGAAAAATTGTGCTGTATATGTGTAATAAGAATTGTAATGCATTCTACTGTCATTTATTTAAAAAAAACAATAAAAATAATGCATATCTAAAACAACAACAAAAAGCTGAAGAATAGATGATGTACTTCTCAGTTGTCCAGAACCTTCTGTTCTACCACTTCATTCATTCCACTCTGGAAAATGTACCCAGTGCCACTTCAGAGTGCCAAATCTGGGTGGACTTTTCCCTGCCTTACTTTGCTACAGTACAGGTACTTGTTGCTCTTTCTCTTCCAGTTCTCCTTAAATACTGATGCTAAAGGCAAAATTCCACCTTTGTCCACATTCTCTTTCTCTATGTACCCAATTTACGTAGGATGGCATATAAGTTTTATGATCCTAATGGGATGCCTTTGGGAGTAAAGGAGGATACTTTTAATAATTATTACTCTGGGGTAGCAGATGCAAACCAAGATTACCCCAAACTAGGATATATGGTCACTCTCTTCTTAGGAGATTGATAGCATCTACTATTATAGTCTTGACTGACAAATAGCTGTAATTATTTGCAAACCTCAACCAGTAGCCTTGATAATGACATTGAACATTATTTTCCAAATCTTCAGGTGATGGTTTCTCATAGGCATCTCAAACTCAGCATGGCCAAAACTCAATCATTTATATTCCTAAAACCTGTGGATCCTTGTATTTTCTCCCCAATGACCCAGCCACTGAAGCCTCTAAAGCAGGGGATTGTTCTAGATTTCCCATTCTCCCTTACCTATCTCCTAACATTTCTGCATTCACTCTTTTTCCCTAAACTACTCTTATAACTTTTTATCTGACCTTATTCTTTTTTTTTTAATTTATTTTTTTATTGGTTGTTCAAAACATTATAAAGCTATTGACATATCATATTTCATACAATAGATTCAAGTTGGTTATGAACTCCCGATTTTACCCCAAATACAGATTGCAGAATCACATCGGTTACACATCCACATTTTTACATAATGCCCTATTAGTAACTGTTGTATTCTGCTACCTTTACTATCCTCTACTATCTGACCTTATTCTAATCTGTCTTTTTCAAGTTCATTTTCCATGTTGTTGCAAGAGTGATCTAAAAGTGATCATACTTCTACTTTGAACCTTTTGATAACTCATTTTAGGCTGAAGACTTTTATCATGATTCCTCCTATTTACATCTTCAGTCTCATAATCTCACTTACTAACTCCTTTTACTCAAATAATCCCAAATAGCTTGTAGAAACACAAACACAAACACCACACTCAAAAAGTGGCTTCTCACTTCCGGTCCCTTATGAATGTTCTTCCTTCAGCCTGAACACAGATCACCTTACTGGATTTGCCAGTATATATACCATTTTCTCTACTCACTCACAGCTGGCCCAGAGGAGGCACAGTGTCTCTTCATAAATTTTCATACTACATTCCCTCTCAATTGCAGTATCAGATGTGTCTATTTGAAATTGTTTATGTCATTATTCCCTAATAGTTTGAAAAACTTCTTCAAGACAATAGTAGCCATAAATAACTAAAAAAAATTGACTCTATCTTTAAAAGACAACATCTATTTTATGGATTTAGCCACAAAATTAAAATAAGCTTGACTAAATATTCATATGAAAAAGCAACTTCTTTTCTGCACTTTTCCACATGTGCCCATGTCTTATAAAACAATCAGAAGATTACAAAATGTATAAGGGCTTCAGCTGCCCCCAATTTGCCATGTTTTATGAAATTAAAAAAACAGATTTTAGTTCAGGAGATGATTATATTCAATTTACAAATATATAGGTGTGTGTGTGTGTGTGTGTGTAATGTGTCAGAGTCATGAAGAGACCAACTCTTAAGTGTCTAAGATTACAGAAAATCAGAATACATTTCACAAGTTGTTTGATGTGGAAAGTTCTGTGAAAATATGATCCAAGTGTTTTTTTTTTTTTTTTTTTTTGCTGTTCTAACAGTTTTCTCAAACTGTTTTTTATTACTTACAATTTTAAAAACATACAACTTTCAAAGGGAGATAAATATGCAATATCCAAAAATCAAGTATCCACCATATCTATCCAAACAGCCTCAGCTACTTTCCAGATGTCTTCTATGGTGATTTCCATGTTCTTATATGATTAGCTCCAGCTCCAAAAGAAGGAATTCTCACTTTGTCTGTCAAAACCCAAACTGTTTGACCTTTAAGGCACAGGAAAAAGCTCAATTTTTGGATAAAATGTGGTGCTCCTGTCACTTATTTAATTTAAGTAATTTTGAGGGAATTAAAAAAGTATAATCTAAAAATTTTAAAGAATATTAGTGTTACCAGAGGCATAACAAGAGCATCTGGTACAACTGGTATTCTATTAAGAAATAAAGAAAGCTATGTAGCAAGTTAACAGTCATGATAAATAACAACTCCAAATGGTATATGTTCTTTTGACAAAGTGCTGCTTAATCTTAATAATAGTTTTTTACTTCCTAATTCAGCAACAGTACTTTGTGCAATCTTTACTAATCTTGGCTTATAAATCTTGTTTATGAACTGTGATTATTTTTGAAAAGAAAAATAATTTGGATTACTTTGAAATTTAAAACATGCTCTGATATTTTCTTCATGACAAGGATTATCAGAGTATTGAAAGGGGGTAGGCACTGGCGTTCTGGCTATGGTAAGTTGCCTTAGGTAGATCTGAGGTGATGGGAATGCCTCTACCATTAGACACTACACTGGGGAATGAATTTTGATAAAATTTAACTGGGAAGAAGTCAAATACTCTTTTTTTTTTTTTTCTTTTCAATTGGTAAGGCGATGATACTATAAAAACAGCTCCAACTTTCAGATAAACATTGTTGAATACTACTACATGTCAGAAGGTGGAGCTCTACACATATGTGAAATACTGGCTTTTATATATGAATTTCACAAATATGTGTAACAAGAAGATTAAAGCAGGAGTATCTTGAGAAAAATGGTTCTAAAAAATATTTCAATTCTTTCATGATAAAAATCATCCTCCACATCTCCAAACCTATAATGGCTACTGATAAAAGAGATGCTTACAATTTTCCATAGAATCATTGTTATATCATCTACTATAAAAATTTAGGTATATGTAAATCGAATAATAAAATTTAAAATATATTTTAAAGGCAAAAAACCACTTTTGAAAATCAGGGCCCCCTAGTCGAATACAGGCAAAGTCCTAATACTTACAAGCATCTCGAATGTAGAGTAACATGGCTATGAAGATATAGTCCACTAAACTCAGGCTGAGGCCATCTGCAAACAAGGCATCCCAGACCACCAGGAGGTCCTGCAGAGGGAACTCTCTGCCAAACAGTAGCCGCACCCACCGTCTGTAGAGAAACGAAACAAAAATTTAGAAAATGGTACTTTTGAGTGGAATTATGAACAAGTTATCATTTTCTCATGTAATTGTGAAGAAATTTGATTTATTAACTGAATACAGTGAGCAAACATTATATGTCAAAGACACATTACAGCAAAATTTAAGTTTTGAGTGAACATATATAAAATACAATAAAATCTAAGTTTTAGGCATTTAAACTAATTTTAAAATTCTATACTAGGCTAAGATGATTAAACCTTTATTTCTCTAAGTGTACAATACAAACATGTTTAAAAAGTGTAGAAATTTTTCATATTTAATAAACACCACAAATCCTCAAAAGGAAAAAAGAAAAAATGAATATGTAGTGGTCTAGTAGTTGCCTCATATGTAAAGATCTGAACTAAAAATACAATTTCCCCAAGTTTCATAATCTTTACAATTCTTTGTTAACTTAACCTTTTGCAAGCATTTATATGCTAACAAATTACTATAGCCAAACCTATAAAACTGCATTCTCACATGGTATTCTTATTTAAAATATTCATTTAACATTATATGTAGGGGAAAATTAGTACTCTTGTACATATTTTTTGGTAAAGTGTATATAGTTATTTTAAATGAAAATATAATTATACTTAAATTTTAGCTTTAGAATAGATATATTTTCTTTCTAGGGAAGTATATAACCACCCCTAAATATCCCAGCTTAATTATTCAAGTTGATTTCTATGGCCAGGTAAATGAGTATCACAGAATAGACATGAATAGTAATAGTAACTTTGTGTGTAATTGTATTACATAAATAGTGACATTTTATACTTCCAGCAAATGCTAATTAATCAATTTATATCTAATGCTTACAACACAAATAGGAATAATTCAATTTGGTATACTTTTATCCATTTACTTCAAATTTTATATAATATTGCTACACTTTTCTTAACAAGCCTTTTGCTTAAATACTTCAGTGAGTATTTTGTGATTCTGGCACATAGCAAAGACTTAATTGTTCTAAGTTGCTAGTGCTATCAAGTAATGGAGAATTAAAAAAACTGCTCGTAATTTAGCTAGGAAATATTACTTCTTTGTAAAATTTGAAACCAAATATAACCATCTGTGAAGTTACAGTGAGGAAAAAGAAAATATTTAAATACTTTCCTCTGGGAGTATTATATTTAAGGAGGAATTAAAGTTGTGGGAAAAAAGTATATAACCACCCCTATATATCCCAGCTTAATTATTGAAAATTATGTCATCAACTACTTAAGTTCTATTAATTATTATCACCAAATTAATCAGAATAATTAGACTGAATTTTTTAAACTACATCAATTACTGCATTTTTCAGGGGGAAAAAATGCCCAGGTGACATTCATTTTTTTTTTTAATGCTTACATCTTCTGCCATTTTCATTTATCTTTAAAATTATATTCCATGCTAAAATGATGAGTGATTAACTTAAAATTTATATATTTTGTCAAATATGCTTGTGTTTATGTGCCTTAAGAAAAAATTACTTCTCCCACACTTCTAATTCTTTTAAATTACAAATGCTAATATTTAGTATGCCAAAAAGAAGAAAAATATTTCTAAGTTAAATGGGTTGTTCTTCTGAATTACAAAGAATTAACCAGAGCAAAGAATATCAGGGGAAATAGATATGGGCAAAGCAAAATAGTATGTGGATTAAACCATTTTGAGTACTCCTGAAAAGGATTTTTAACTGACACATACATAAGTGCATTCTTAAACGACTAAAATATTTAGAATGAAGCTACTCAAAATTATTCAATTGATACAAATGAAAGAAAATTCCAACAAAAATAAAACAAACGAAGGTTGGTACACAACTACAGATGAGTGTTGCTATCCTTCCCAGCCTTCCTTACAGCTCAAATGCCTGTAATTTTCCTATAGGCAATAACATTTTTGGTTTCATCACAGACAGTGCTTCAAGAGCAAAATAAACAAAGTAGCTTATTTTTTAAAAATAATTTTTATACCTAAGATTTTTATAACCAAATAAAAGTTATTGCTCAAACTTCTCTTGCAATCTTCCTGCTGGTTAGAGTTGTATTAGCTTAGCTTCAAAAATGAGCCCACAGATACACGCATGCAGCAAATTCCACTGCAGTACTGTCAGGAGGGCAACTGCAAAGGCTGGTAATTTACACTGAATACACTTCTGATTTTTACCTGTGTCCAACAGTTTATATGTTTAATATTTTCAAAACTACACAAAATGCAGGTCTCTAGTAATTTTGTGTAATCTGTTATATGCTGCTTTGTAATTGCTTCACATTGCTTCAAAGTTTTAAGTTGCCACATGACTAAATAATTCTGGGGCAAGAACTAAATCTGCATGTGAGAGGGGGGGGAGGGAGGGAGGAAAGGGGGGGAGGAAGAAGGGGGAGGGGAGGGGGAGTGGGAGGAAGAGAAGGGAGGAGAGAGGAAGAAAGAGAGAGAGAAGGAGGGATGGATGGAGGGAGGGGAGATAGCAGTAGTAAGAGAAAGGGGGCAGATCTACAAAGTTCTTTGTAAAGAGCTCTATATACTTCACTAAGTGCTCTATCTGTTGTTTACCAAGGTCTTGTTAAATACACTGTAAAGCCACCTGTCACATTACTGAGAAGCAAAGGTGTAGCTAAATTGGAAGCATAGGCATTGATCTTCCTAATGGTGGCACAAAAATAATTCAGGAAGTGGGGGGAAAACCAGAAACACATTAAAAATAATTTATTATTAGATACCTACTATGTTATTTTATATTAGTATTTGTAATTTGTATATACTAAGATATTTTAAAGTAAAATACTCTTTCCTCTATTTTATATGCTCTTATGCCCAAACTAAGGTCAAATTCTCAAAATATTTAAGAACCACCATATGACTAATAGAATGCTGTGGGACCAACAATGACATCAATAATTTAATCATTTAAATCTCAACTGGATTTAGTTCATATATATATTCACAGCACAAAAAATTTCCTGTGCTATTTTTGGGCTTTACTTCATTGAGCTTAAAAGCCAAGGAAAATTCAGCCTATTATGGAATGAGTTACAAATAGAAATTATTTCAGGAAGCTTTTGTATTCTTAGAAAGGAACACTTACTCTAAGAAATGAGGTCTTATAAAAAAGTCACTCCTACAATTAACATGCTTTTATTGCAGTTAAAAATATTTAGTGAGAGCTGAAGTTACACTTAAGGGTAGCATTAAACCTTTCTTTTTCCCTTAAAGATAGCTACAGTTTAATTGCTTGATACTATTAATCTTGCTTTATGTATGTTACACCTGCAGACTGCAATATTCATATATTTTATCACTTGTGATAACACAATAATTCCTATTTTACCAGACCTACTTAGTAATTAAAATCTGTACAAACAAAAAAAGATTATCTGAAGTATTACAGTTACTAATAAGCCACTCAAAGACAGGGCAGTTTCTGTTTGCACCTATACTGTTATTCTCTATTTTAAATTTCTGTGTAACTAAGCTGCTATTCTCAGAAATCAGTAACTACTGATAGTGTTATTGTGTGGTGAATGACCCATAGAAACACCATGAGAAGTCCATTTTTAACCATCAGTTTATAAAAACGATCCATTTATGTTTTAATAGCCTTGGTCCAACATGGCTGTAGTGGGTTATATAAGGAGAAAGAAATTTAAATCCTTGACCTTCATTTACCTTTTCTTTTAATGACCCTTTAGTGTCATATTGATATATCTATCTTACAAGAACAAGTAATGTAGGAAAGCTATATTTGACTTAATTCAACAAACTTCACAAGGGCATGTCAAGTAACCTGTGATCATGAAATGATAGCACTTGGTAAGCATGTTGAAACACAACAGAGCAGTGTTATATTTTTGCTCAATTAAATTAATTTTAGGTTTTGCTTTCTGTTCACTTCTTTTCAGAGCTAATGAATTTTAAATAATCAATGCCTGGTATGGAATAAACACAGAATCCAAATTCTGTTATTATCGGGAAAAAACAAAAGCAAGTCAAAAATGTTTTTGTGAGGTTGAACACCTAACACCTGGACTAAATTTAGGCTCTTCTTATGTTGGGTTTCTTTGTCTTTCCTGTTTTCAAACTAATTAATCCCGAGTATTCCTTTGAACTAACTCTGTGAGAATAGTCAAAATTAGAATTTAATATTGCATTTATTATAATTAAGGTCACAAAGGCATTCTCAATTTTAATTCGAACTTTAGAGAGCAACTTTACAAAAAGATGGAAGGACAAGTAAGTAACTTAGTTCTAATTTTGCACATCTTATTCCTGGAAGGGTACTACTACACAGTACATTCCTAGAAGATGCTTGACTTGCTTAATAAAGTTTTTATCAACTATTTCAAGTAGGTCCTTCTAAAAATATTTGGGATTTGCATGACTTGGAAAGATTTGAATCCTTTAAGCCCATCAAACTCTGCTTAAAACAAAATAGGAAGATCAGAAATGTCAAGTGATTTGTGTTTAAAGAATTCAGATATACTTTCTTAATGTTCCTGGTAATTTATGAGTTGAACCCAGCTTGGATTTGGCATTAAGGAAAGACATGTTAAACCTAATTTAACCCCCAAAGCATATGTACTTGTACTTCTAAAAGTATATTTTTGACTTTGAGGAAAATTCTCAGTTCCTTTCAGAGGGCAATACATAGCCCTTTATTAAGGAAGGTTTCTTATTCCAAAAATAAGTTCCTAATAATTATCACCCATCCCTACTGTAATTTATTCTCCTTGGCAAGTGTTTGAAGCTGTTTTGTCAGAACAAATGTAATACGCCCTTTGCAAAAATAGTCTGAATAGAAAGTACAGCCTTGTGTATCTTGTTTTTCTAGAGATACAAAAAGCTCATGAAGATGTTGGATAAAGATGACCATGATATTTTAAGGCTGTATATATAACCCTTGAATGTTTTTATACATGCACCAACCTCTTTTTAGATCTATGTCTGCTATTATAAGTACGACATTTCAAAGACTAA